GTGCAGCAGTGGTGGCTCCCAGATTGCGAGAGGGCGCAGGCAGGGCTGAGGGACCCCTCCGAGTACATGAATTTCATGCACCGAGCCTCTAGTAAGTAGTTCTTTGGTTTATCTCTTCTCCTTCCCTCAACCCATTGAGGTATGTCAGTCTGTTACATGCCTCCCTGCTTCAGGTCTTATTTTGTTGGTCAATTCATTTTGTTCATTAGATTCCAATTAAAAAATGGGCTGAAGACCTGAATAGACATTTCTCCAGAGGACATACAAATGTCCAAGGGACATATGAAAAAATGCTCAAAGTAACTATTCTTCAGAAAAATGCAAATTAAAATCACAATGAGATATCACATCACACCTGTCAGAAAGGCCATCATCAAAAAAATCAACAAAGAACAAGTGCTGGTGAGGATGTGGAGAAAAGGGAACATTAGTTCACTGCTGGTGGGAATGCAGATTGGTGCAACCAGTATGGAAAACAATATGAAGTTTCCTCAAAAATTAAAAATGGAACTTTCATTTGACACAGCGATCCCACTTCTGGGAATATATCCTAACAACCCCAAAAGACCAATCAGAAAGAATATATGTACCCCTATGTTCACAGCAGCATTGTTTACAACTAGAGGCCCAGTGCACAAATTCGTGCACAGGTAAGATCCCTTGGCCTGGTCAGCGATCGGGGCTGATCAGGGCCGAGGGAGGTTGGCCAGGGGTAAGGGCTGTGGGAGATTGGCTGTGGGAGCACACTGACTACCAGGATAGAGCTCCTGAGTTGAGCATCTGCCGCCTGATGGTCAGTGTGCGTCATAGCAACCAGTCGACAGGTTGTTTGGTTTTTTAGGCTTTTTATATACAGATAGCTAAGATTTGGATATAGCCCAAGTGCCATCAGTAGAAGAATGGATAGAAAAGCTGTCAGGCATTTACACGATGGAATGCTATGCAGCCGTAACAAAATAGGGATCTCTTATGCTTTGGCACCGCATGGATAGGCCTGAAAAATATTATGCTCAGTGAAATAAGTCAAACTGAGAAAGACAAATATCACATGATCTCACTTATTTGTGGAATCAACTTCATTTTAATTCAACAGGAAATATATGGGCTTACATTGCTTCTGACGCAGGGGATCCTCAGTAGTCCTACCCTGTCCCTGTAACATTACATAAACCTTTCTGTTCAATTAGGGCACCTAACTTTCCACTCCACCCCACCAAGCTAACTGGTGTCACCCTTCAGTACACACCTAAAAATCCCTTCACCTAAGTCACCTAAAAGGGCTCTTATTTGAGCTCCCAGAGTCTTGGGCTTACTTAGCGCTGTCATTGTCAGTTTGTCCACTACTCCAACCACACACACACACACTTGTATAATTAATACAATAATTAATTACTTGTAGGCACTATGCATACATTCTTTTATTTATTCTTATATACTCTTATTTATCCAGTTTGGATAACTCTTTTTTTAAAATATATTTTCATTGATTTCAGAAAGGAAGGGAGAGAAAGGGAGAGGGAGAAACATCAATGATGAGAGAGAATCATTGATCAGCTGCCTCCTACACGTCCCCTACTGGGGATGGAGCCCGCAACCTGGGCATGTGCCCGTGACTGAAATGGAACCTGGGGCCCTTCAGTCCGCAGGCCAACACTCTATCCACTGAGCCAAACCGGCTAGGGCCAAGTTGGATAACTCTTAAAGAGTTTTAGTAATTTTCCCTAAAGTTAAGAGCCAGAAAGTGGCCAAGCCAATATTCAAATCTCTGGAGAGTGCATCTCTAAGGCCAAGCTCTATCTCTGCATCCAGCTGCCTACTGATATAGTAAACGTAGACCATGGTGGTGTAAGGCAAGCATGTCAAGCTCAAAGTCTAACACAGGCCAAATAAAGGAGGCATGCAGCCCATGGGCCATGAGTTTGACATGCTTCGTGTAAGGGGATAGGTGGAGAGTCAATCACTCCAACACTGCTCTGCCCTTGAGCTTGAACTCCGTCAGCCAGGCCCAAGGCCCTCACCATGGTGACTGGCAGGAGGGTCTTTCAAAGAGCAGGTGTGCTGAGGAGTGACGAAAGCTCCTCAGCCAGCTCCCGAGGAGAGGCTCGGCGATGCAGTGGTTTGGGGTGGGATGTGGAAGAGTGTGCACAGAGATAAAATGCCACAAAGCCCCAGTGGGCGTCCTGACACGGATCATCCCCACACTCAGCCTGCCTTGTAATCAGGAGCGGTCCGTGATGTGTATTTTTGGCTTTTCTACAATCCCAGATCCTGAAAGGCTAAACTGGAATAATTCAGGAGCAACTCCCCTTAAAGGAGAAATAGGTATGATTGGCAATGTTTGTGGAAACATTCTTCAGAAAACAGACTTAACTCTGAATTTGCAATTGTTTGGGAAATGGCCGGGGAAGGGAGCAAGACAAGTTAATTAATAGAAACAGTCATCAAGACGCAGGAGCATGTCAGCTCTTTCAAAGTCCTGGGGGGTCGTTAGCCACCTTTCTGTCACTCAAAAAAACATGAATTTCTTGAGTGTTACTGAGTCACAAAGGTGCCGAATGCCTCTATTACCTTATTTCAAGAAAGGAGGTGGGATTAGTCATCAGATTCTATGAGTCCAAAACAAAACCCAATATAATTACTTTTTCTATTCAGACCAAAGTGGAAAGTTCTTTCAGCAGGGCATGTTTGTTTATTTATATTATATAAGATGCCATCAGTGTGATACACTTCCATAAAGAGTTAACTAATAGAAACAGGCAGGCGATATCTATCAATGATGCAGGTATGAAATTACCCAGAATTTCACATGGTATGAAACGACGTGCCGTGCAGCTGGCTAAAGCAGTTCTAAATAACCAGAAAGTAAGAATGTAAGGATTCTCCATCTATGTTTAATTTGTTATTATTTTTAGAGAGAGAAGGGAGAGGGGGAAAGAGAGAAACATCGATGTGAGAGTGAAACATCAATCCGCTGCCTCCTGCACGCCCCCTACTGGGGATGGAGCCAGCAACTCAGGCATGTGCCCTGACTGAGAATGGAACAGGCAACCATTAGGTGCACGGACAGTGCCCAATCGACTGAGCCATACAGGCCAGGGCTATGCTCAATAACTCTTAAGTTCAAATTACAGTTTAAACACGTGGCAGCTACTGACTAAGGTATAACAGAATAGGGTGGGTAAAATCATGGCCCTGGGGATCTCCAGACTCAGTTCACTCACTAGCTCTGTGATCTTGGTGTGAGCTTTCTTAATCCAGCTAGGTCTCAGGTCCTGCACTTACAAAAAATTAACCCCAAAACCTGGTTCTGGTCAAGAAGCCCATATTCAAAACCCACTGGGAAGAAGTGTTTCAGAACTCAGAATTTGTCACATTTAGAAGCATGTTAAGATGTAAAAACTGTTCAGTAAGTAACACCCTCAGCAGGGTCTGGGGCGCACCCTGTTATCAAACACATGAACATTTCTGCTGGGAAATACATGAACAGGCACAGTAATGGGATGCATTAGGACTCTCAACAGCTCCCAGCCAGTTCTGCTACCTGAGTTTATACCAAGCATGCAAAAACAAAATCTTTTAGAGCTTTTTGCCTTATGGACTTATGAAATAAAGGTATACACGTGTACACATACACATAGAGCGAGGGGGAAGGAATTACTGTTAGAATAGGATTATGTCCACAAAGTGCTTTTCGGAGAGCACTCAACACTGGTTTGGAAAACACCCAATACTGGCCAAAAGGTGAGGTCCTGGAAGCCAGGGGTCACTGCTTTGCTCATTGATTCCCCCCAACCCTCCCACCCACCCCCGCCCCATGGATATGCCTAAGAGAGTGCTGGCCACATAGAGAGTGCTCAGTAAATAGTCTTTGGATGATTCGCAGCTCCTCGTCCAGGCTTCCTCTGTCCAGGTTGGACCTACTATAGGAAATGAGACAACAATCCCTGAAGAGGCTCGCTTTGCTTTGCCAGGCAGAAGCAGGAAAGCCAACAGAAGTTCCCAGAGGAACAGAGAGTTAACTTTACGTTTCAAAGATCCACCTTTACTTCCCTTCCTGTTTATTTTCCTTTCAAACCTTGCATTTGGGAAACAAATAACATTGGCATGATTCACTTCCGAATCTGACTTATCAGGGCAATCAGCCATTGCCCGGCTCATAATTGGAATTCTACTGACGATGATGGTGTGTGTCAAAATGAACAGGAGCTTATGAACGGTTCTGAGGAATAAACATGTTCAGTCTTCAGCAACGCCTGTGTGACCATGGAGAGCAGGCAGCCCTGATCTGCACAAGAAACACTTGTCTAACCTGCCAACAACAGCACAAATGCACACCCCGTCTAGCACGTGCAGCCATGCACTCCACAATATTCCAATTTTGCTTCTATAGATTTCATCCCATCTGACGATGAATGAACCAGGTTCTATTGCCAAGTTTACTGAATCACAGTACATACGGAGCACCATTCAGCATCCATGCGAGGAGTTTCCCTTTCTGAATCCTAGCTTAATGATTGACACAAATAACAAACAAAAGGAGAAAACTCTACCTGAAATTGGAGAAACATGGCCTCAAAATAAAATGAAACAAACAAAAAAAAAAACCCAACATTTTAGGAATCAAGGCGATATACATTCAAACTGAGCAAAACAGGCACTGGAAGTTAGAGGTTTGGTGTAGAGACACCTTGTATGAAACGAGAAAGACAATCTGTGTGTGTGTGTGTGTGTGTGTGTGTGTATTACACAAGGGCTATTGTATCTATGGTGGGATGGAAGGTGTGGGAGAGAACTTTCCCCAGAAGAGCAGCGTGTCTACATTTAAAACTGTTGCCAGGAGATCCTCCCTATTCCCAAAGAAACCAAGAGGTAAACTCACTAACCATGGGGCAGAAAGTACTCACAGTGAAGTGTGTCAGCAACCATGACACGTCTGCCTTTAAGATCTAAAGACAAGGAACCGACCATGAACTTGGGAATCTTAAAAAACGAAAGCTTACCCGGCCAACAAGAATCGGTTCCGGTCCAGAAAACTCCTCCAGGACAAACATTTGATTCCAAACCCAGCCTCGTTTGGAGCGGTTCAAGATCCGCTGTTCTTCACTCAGCCTGTTTAGTTCCAAACGGGATCCACTCGTCAGAACTTGAGACGGAGTCGTCGGAGCCGTGTCCACGCAGGCGGGGAGAGTAATCCATAATATTATTAATGGAGTCCAGAGATCCAAGAGCGCTTCCGAGAGCCGTTCTGGCATGGTCCCACCGGTTAAGCAGATGAGCACGAAAATGAGACAATTACTCGTTTCGCCTCCGGTCCACAGCCATCCAATTCATCATGCAGGGCAGAGCGTTTACTCACGGGGCCGCCACGTGTTCACAGCACAGCAGGCAGACACCATCTGAACAGGGTTTCTAAGACCAGCATCCATTGGCTTGCCTTTTCATTGAAATTGCCTGCAAAAAGCAAAAAGGGAGGAAGAGAGAGAGACAAGTCCACTGAGACAGGGTTTTCCAACGAAATCGCTGCTTTCAAACAAAATCAGGTGAATGAGCCACACCAGGCATTCCCTAAAAGTCTCGAGTTAAGAAAGTCAATCTGAGGAATGGAAGCAAGTGGGCTAACAGGTCCTTTCGTTTTTTTAAGCTTTATTTCGTTTTAGTGTTCATATTTTCTCTGGGTTACTTATAAAAAACTGCTTCACGGACAGTCATAGAAATTTGCTTTTCCTTCTCTTCCTTTCTTCCTCCCTCCCTTCTTTCCGCTCTCTTTTCTTAAAATTTTTTTTAAAAATTTTCTAATGCAGCCTGGGGCGCATGTTCATGAAGCCATCTTATATTCTTATGGAGGTTGCAAACCTTCATTTTTTCTTTCTTCCTTCTCCTCTGCCTTTCCCTCTTTTTCTCTTTCTTTCTTTCTTTTCCAGTTTAAAGGTGGGTTTTAATTCATTTTATGCTGAACTATGTGAGGAAACTGGCCTTCACTAGTGGTTGTTGTTTTTTTTTAAATTTATGAATGAGAATGGGAAGGGAAATTTCCCCAATTTTTACTGTCTTAGCTGCCACAACCCATCAGAAGGGACCATCTAGTTGGGTCACAGAATGCAATTCTCCACCAGGATGCTAATAACCAGGGAATAAAATTAGAATGGTCCCACAGAGAAAGCCGGCATGTCCAGCGCATATGCGGTAATCAGGACAGTGCCAGGACTCCCATTCAGAATGCACAGTTAAACAGGAGATTTCAATTATGAAAAGCTCCTTGGGGAGTAGGATATGGTAAAAATACAATTTTCAGTGGAGGAGATTCAGAAACGGATGGGCGAAAAAAATACCCATTACCTCAGGTGTCAAATACATTTTTTTGCTTACCTTTAGCGTGGCAAAACGTATTTCTCCCCTCTCAAAAAAAAAAAATATATATATTTTTTTAAAGAAATAATGCTCACTGCAGATCCCAGACAGGAGCCTTGCTGAATTCAATTAAGTGGGAAAATGATTTCTCAGAATGCCACTGGGTACAATTCCGTAGGCAACCCTTCAACCTCTAGGTGCCTGGTTCTATTCTGCCTCAGAATGGAAAAGCAAGAAAGTGGTTGCCATGAGCTGGGCTGGCTGTGGGCTGGGTGAGGCCAGCTGGCAGGAGCAGGCCCAGCTTCTGCTGCCCACAGCGGCAGCGTCTGATCTCACATGACAGCCAGTGGCATCGCCCTGCCTGTCACATGTTGCCAGGGCTCAGCTCTGTCCCTAGGACTCTGTACCTCAAAAGCGGCTCCACCCCCAGGAGTGCACACAGGGGCCACTGCAAGCAGCAGCTGTTTTGGAAACTGAGGAAAAGCTTGCAATAGGGAACTGACTCAGAGCAATGCCCACCACCTTCCATAGAGCTGCAGCACTCAGGGACACTCAGCCCCCCTTGAACTTTATTTTTAAATATATTTTAAAATACATTTTTATTGATTTTTTAATATATTTTTAAAATTTATTTTTATTGATTTCAGAGAGAGGAAGGGAAAGGGAGAGAGAGAAATAGAAACATCAATGATGAGAGAGAATCATTGATCTGCTGCCTCCTGCACGCCCCCTACTGGGGATGAAGCCCACAACCTGGGCATGTGCCCTGACAGGGAATAGAACCATGACCTCCTGGTTCATAGGTCGAAGCTCACCCACTGGCAAGTTCAGAAAGGACACAATAATGGTACCTACCCAGAGGATGAAAAGATTACCATCCTTGTGAAACCATTAGGAAAAGCTGGAATGGACCATTATTTTTACATTGTGCCAAATACTCTGCAGGTGTACTCTGGCATCTTCTGTGTTAATGATGCTGGGACAGGGATATGTCATCCCACTGAAACTCAGGACAGACGCTTCTTTGATGGAGACCATCAGGCAGCACTCAGGATGACCTGTGACATGACCAGTGTGCTGCCTGACCTCGCCAGGCTCAGGGAACAAGTAGTAATCGGCCCTGGAGCAATTTCATAGAATGGCATGGTTTCATTAGTCTGAATGAAAGGATTAATACGTAGATGCAGGGCCCCAAATACTACCCATGACCACAATACCTTACAGTCAGAGTAAGCTCACTAGGCTTTGTACTGTTTTGTTCAAAACTGAGGCACTGAAGAATTAAGTGACTTGCCCAAAGAATAGCTCCGATAAGAAGCAGGTCACTATTTCAATCTAGGTAATCGAACTCCAAAATTCTCTTTCCTCCTCCTCTCATTATATAAATATCTGCTGAGCATATACTGAGTGTCCAATACTGGGAACGGAAAGGTAAGTAGGTCAGAGAGCTTATCCTCAGGGACCGAAGAGTCTAAAGGGTAAAGACTAAGAGATAAATACAACATCTAGGGCAACATAATCTGAGAACAGTTAGGGGAAGAGAGTGATGAGTATGCCACTCATCTTGGCAGCATCACAGAAGGCTTCCTGGGGGCAGTGTCCTCTACATGTTGAGAAGTGACTTCCCAACTGGGGAGGGGTAGATGTGAAAGGACATTTAAGTCAAGCCATGGGCAGCCCAGACTACTGACTAGTCCAGGAGCTCTGAATGAGCCAGCACCTAGGGTAGTGTCCCAATCATGACTCACTAGCTCATCCAGTCCATGATCATGGCACCTTCTCCCTACCCACCAAGTTCATCCTAGTCACAGCTGCTATGGAGTACATGTCTGTAGGGTCCCTTCTTCTCTGCCAATTCTCTGTGAAGAGAAAGGCATGCTTTTGGTGTGTTTTTTAAATATTTTTACAGAGAGGAAGAGAAAGTTAGAAACATCAATGAGAGAGAAACATTGATCAGCTGCCTCTTGCACACTCCCTACTTGGGGATGTGCCTGCAACCAAGGTGCATGCCCTTGACCAGAATCGAACCTGGGACCCTTCAGTCCACAGGCCAATGCTCTATCCACTGAGCCAAACCGATTAGGGTGAGAAAGGCATGTTTGATTTCTCCTAAGCTTTGAGAATAAAAATACATACCCTCCCACAGAGAGGGAGTGGGAGACAGAGAAGTGCTATTCCAATGCAGCCCCTCCTTTTTCAGAGAAAGGGGGAGTGACTTGGCCAACACCCGCAGTGGGTGGCAGAGCCCTGGCAGAGCTCCAGGAAGAAATCAGCCCAGCTCTGCAGAAACCCTTCTTCTTCTCTGTTGCTCACCCCCACTACCCCCTCTGTGCGTGCTTCTAGACCTGAAATACTCCTACACCCCTCCTCCAGTGCTGCCACATTCTTGAATCACTTGTACCATTACTTTAAATTCTATTAAAACGCTTTCAGTTTTTAAAGTATTTACTTAAAGCCCACCCAGCCTGGCTCACTGGTTGAGGTTCAACCTATGAACCAGGAGGTCACGGTTCGATTCTTGGTCAGGGCACATGCCCGGCTTGAGGGCTCAATACCCAGTAAGAGACGTGCAGGAGGCAGCTGATTGGTGATTCTCATTATTGATGTTTCTATCTCTCATTCCCTCTCCCTTCCTCTCTGAAATCAATAAAAATATTTTAAAATTGACTTAAAAATGGAAAGCCAATATTATTTTCTACGAAATAATTAAAGTGAACACTTAGAAAACATTTTGTGAATATCCCATCATCAAGACGGACTAAACACACTCACGCACACACACTTTCCTAATATGTGCAGATATGGTAAGTCATCAACACAGACTATACACAAATATATATCTACACATGTTAGATGTAACACACATGTATGTATTTATACCTACTCTTCAAAATAGCCCTAGTATTATTATGACTTTATTATCATTCCCATTTTAGAGAAAAGCAGACTGAAGCACAGAGAAATTGCTTTGTAAAGCAATATTTTATTTTCCCTGAGCTAGACAATGTCAGAGTCTCAGTCGTCTCTCTCTTTGTTAAAAAGGAAGCAGTTAGAGGCAAGGGTGTGCTGTTCAATAACTAACAAGTAGCTCTGGAAAAGGAAACTAGGAGAATGTCTGATGTCTGAGTTCCATGCTACCAATATCTCCGCCATGACCAAAGTCAAGCTTAGCATGACCGTTAACCAGCTCCAGGGCAGTTCCTCAACTTTTTAGCAATCAGCTCTGAGGCGTCCAGTAAGAGCTACCCCAGGACACCATTGTGGGGGTGCATCTCAAACTTCAATCTACATCCAAGGCACCTGTAACTCTAGCTAACATGCAGATTCTGAGCCAGTGAACTGAGGGCGGGGCCTGCGATTCTGCACTTCCAACCATCTCTCCTGGGATGCAGATGCTACCATCTGGGATTTGAGGACCACCATCTGCAAAGCCAGGGGTTCTCGAGAATAAGACAGCTCTCCATTCAGATCCCCCCCTTGAGATAACTTGAAGGAGTCCATGGTGATGTGGGAAATGCACTTCCTGCTCAGTGTCATTTGAAGCCGTGCCCATAACCTACTATCACTCATTATACGGGACCACACGCATATATCAGAAACCCTGCACTGAAGTGTATGAATACACAGGGGTTTGTATGATGTCATAATATTCCTCCCCCACTTTTTATCAGCATTGGGAGTGACACGGGAATCCTGTCCCCCTGGCTGGTGTGTCCATCTACACATGCATTTTTTTTTAATGTATTTTCATTGATTTCAGAGACAAAGGGAGAGGGAGATAGAAACATCAATGATGAGAGAGAATCATTGGTCAGCTGACTCTTACACACACTCTACTGGGGATGGAGCCCGCAACCCAGGCATGTGCCCTGACTGGAAATTGAACCATGACCTCCTGGTTCATAGGTGGACGCTCAAGCACTGAACCACACCGGCCAGGCTGCATATGCATTTTATAGGAGGTGGTGAGACTTGGCCTTCCCTTCAGTGAAGTCTGTCACTTGGAGAGAAATGGGATTCTCGGTGACAATGAGAGCCATACTGTTTATATGCTTGCACCTCTGCCACGGGCAGGGCTAATAGTACCCTCTCTGATGATCAGA